CGAGCTCCTTGTTGTTATTAACATGTAGTTGCTGTTATTACCATGTAGTCATGTTAACAAAATACACGATAAACAAGCGATCTTACCGTACATTTTTAATATGAAAGGACCTGGGACCGCGTTTTTCTGCTCAGTAAGCAAGCCACTGCAACCGACGATCTTTCAAATCCAAAAACTAAAAGCTACGAAAGAGTACTTAGGCCTTCATTAAGATCCACTTTCACGTGACGTTCAATGCTTTGATTTGCTTTACATGGTTCAGGTAATCATAACAAGCTATGACCGACGTGACGATTGTTTATGCCCTGGCTAAACAAGCTATTCAAATGAAATTACGTTTTGGAATCTCACTTGGCATGTTATAAACAACATAAATACGCGATAATTCTAATATTTTCAGCGGTTGATGGTTAATTTTAAGTAAACTAATGGTACTGCCCACGGCGACTACAACGGCGATCCGACAGCGACTACGACGGCGAATACGACGGCGCATACGACGACAACAGCGAATTTGTAACTTACCATTTGTGAAGGATATAACACCTTTGCCCGGCACCTCCACTTGAGCTTCATGCCTACTATCTGTCACTTTTTGCTAAAATATTTAATAACTAATACTTCCTTCAACGAAAACAAATTTTCTTGCATTGCCATGGTCATCTGGGAGGAGGTTCGCGTTTAGTGCTTTCCCCAAGAGCCGTTCACGGCCACCAGCTACTGCCTGTCCAGTCTTTGGCGTATCCAGCGAGGCATGATTTAGCTTACTCACAATCTCCGACACTGGAGAGAGACTAGCTGATTCACGGCAACGTCGGCCACCGAATCACCTCCAACACACCAATTTACCAACCGGACCGTGTTCAAACTCGCACGCGGTGACGAGACTTTCGATAGAACTACGCGCCGAAAGCGTGACATCCGACCACGTTCAACCGGCCTCCCGGGAGGCAATGAAAATCATAAGCACACTTACACACCGCTGGTTAAAAAAAAACACACCCGTGCAAAGAAACGGATCCAATAAACGTCTCTCTCGCCATAGAAAACTCGTCGTCTTCGAACGGCAAAAAAAGGCTAATAATGAATTGAATACACTTTAATACAAATCGAAAATACTCAAGTTGACAGTCCCTCGATTTGGTGGTCTCAAGTATACATCTATAAGCGTACCACATTCTAGTCGAAGTTCTAGAACGACACTTTGTTTGTTTTGATTCGTCATGTGTTGCTGCCAGCACTGCCCCGCGGTGTAACCGCAACCGAACGACATCACCGCTTCAACTGGCGAACGGTGTTACCAAGACTTAAAACGTCAAAGTGTACAAGTGGACGGACAATGACGTGGCCGATGAGAGGTTGTCTGTAGAAAATCTTAGAGGTGAAAAGAAAGTTAGAAGTAAATTGAAGTTATTGTAATTATCTTTGAATTAGGCCTAAAACTATGTTTTTTCAGTTCTTACAGCTAAAGTTGTACTTAAACTATCTTACCCTAAACTATAACAGATAGTTATTACAGTTAGCAGAGCAGCCGTAAGTTTATATGAAATACAATTAGAAACTATGTATAACCTAAAATTTATCGCAGATTGCTTCACATACGAGGATTTCGGTTAGGCATTAATATTCCATACGCTCAAACCGAATAATTGTAAGTAGTATTATAACTAAATGAGTTAAATGCTTACCTAAGCTAATAAATATTGCAGTTAAAGCTGTATTCGCACCCATAAATTCGAGTTTGCGAGCTGCTAATTAAAACGGTTGTGAGCCCTATTGTTCCCGGAACAAACCTTTAAAATTATTCGCCATGCCGAAATCGGATTCATTGACTAACCCCACCAACCCAGCCACACCGGAGAAGGGTCAAACATCCAGCTGCGTCTGCTGTGATCGCCCGGACGCGGTCGACGATGCGATGCGCGGGAGTATGCGCGGAAGTATCTACATCGGTGGCAGATTGATCGTGGACTTGTGGACACTGTTTGCCGCTGAGTGTATGTTCCCGAACAACAACGTCCAGCGCTAGGGCGGCACGTTTGATGCTAAAAAAGAAGCTGTTGGAAGAGCAGCAAGCGATGGAAAAACGTCATTTGGTGGAAAAATATAAGATGCTGGAGGAGGAGTTGCACGAAACGGACGATTCGGTCAGCAACAGGAGCAAGGTCAGTAGAAGGACGAGTCTGGACAGAGTGAAGCACTGGCAACAGCAATGCGATGAGCAGTCCGATGTTTCTGATGGTCTTCCGTTAGTAGGCCAATCCGCAGATACTGCAGCAGCTGCATTGAACAGCCAGGGTCAGATTGACTCGGGGAAAACGATGCCGGATGTGCAGCGGGAGCCAACCGATGAGGTCAACAAGCTAATTTGGCAAAAGTTGGCTACGGATGCAACGAGGCGACAAGAGCTGAGGCATGCAGAGCACCGTCAGCAATCCAGCTTCAAGCAGCCACAGTTGAATTCAACGTTGAAGCCGTTAGGCGTTCCTGAACGGTGCCGTGAGGAGAGGTATCAGCAGCAGTATACCGGCGCGATCCCTAAAATAGGTCCGAAGCAGCAACAGGTAACCAACCCAAGAGGTAAAGTCGAACCCCAAGTGCCCCCCATAACACATCAAGGTAAGTCACTCGGTGATCCAATAATAAATCCACCATTACCACCAAAAATTGAAAACTCCCTCCAACAAATTATGAAGCAATTTGGAACGTTGGCACCATTTGCCACGATTTCCTCCAATGAAACAAATACTGTTCCCCCTTCGTTTGGAACAAATGTTGGCTTTCCGCCACCGGCAAATCCGATTCAATCTTCCGGATTAGCTCCCCCAACTGCGGGATCGCCGATTGTTGGCTCTTCGCCACTTGCGTCTGGAACAGTTTTCCCGCAACAGGGACTGTCGAATGTTGGCTTTCCGTCACATGTAAATCCGGTACTATCCGTTGGAGCAGTTCCCCCACCGCCGGGTCTGCCCATTACTGATCAATTTACCCCCTCCCCCTCGCAGCTAGCCGCGCGTCAAGTGATGCCCCGCGATCTACCCACGTTTTCGGGTGACCCAGCTGATTGGCCGATATTTATAAGTAGCTTCATGAATAGTTCGCTTGCATGTGGTTACAACAGCGCCGAAAACCTCGCGCGTCTGCAGCGTTGTTTGAGAGGGTCCGCGTACGAATCTGTCAAGAGCAGGTTGCTGCTGCCTGAATCAGTGCCTCAAGTGATAGATACCCTTCGTTTGCTGTACGGGCGACCTGAATTGTTAATTAATGCTCTACTGCAGAAGGTGCGTAGTGTTCCGGCGCCAAAAGCGGAGAAATTGGAGACCATAATCGACTTTGGAATGGCTGTGCGAAGCCTCAGCGATCATCTGGAAGCCGCAGGACAGCAAGACCACCTTTCCAACCCAACGTTGCTGATGTAGCTGGTGGAGAAACTTCCTGCGCACACTAAAATGCAGTGGGCAGACTATATGCAGCAGCACCCGGTAGTCAACCTAAAGGCGTTTGGAGATTTCATGCTCAGAGTTATCACAGCAGTCAGCAGAGTTACAATGTACGTCGGTGGGAACAGTGGTGGTCAGCAGAAGCCGAAGCAGAAGGGAGCGGTGAATGCCCACACTAGCGAAGCAGAGCAAGTTCGAGAGCCAGTTCGGGATAAAGTTCGAGTATGTTCTTGCTGTAAAAGGTCAGGTCATCACGTGACAGAATGTTCCACGTACAAAGCGTATACCGTAGACAACCGGTGGAAGTTCGCGCAAGATAACGGGCTTTGTCGGAGTTGTCTTAACGCACACGGAAGAAGAAGCTGCAGAAATTCAACACGGTGTGTAATCGAGGGATGCCAATATCGCCATCATCCGTTGCTGCATTCCAATCGACCCAATGCCAGCGGGCGGCATACACAAGGTATGTCAACCGTGCAGAACCATACGCATCGGCAATACAAGCAAGCTCTTCTGTTTCGCATTATTCCTGTCATCATCTCCGGTCCGCGAGCTACTATCGAAACCTTTGCTTTTCTGGATGACGGCTCGGATCTCTCGCTCATCGACAGCAGTCTGGTGGAGCAACTGGGAGTCAACGGTTGGACCGAACCTTTGTGCCTGAAGTGGACAGGAAACGTCACCAGAGTCGAGCCAGAATCGAAAAACGTTCGAATTACGATCAAGGGAACAAATAGTCAAAAACTGTTCTCTCTCAACGATGTCCGCACCGTGAAGGAGCTCACGTTGCCGGAACAGAGTCTCAACTATGATGAGCTATCACAACGCTATCGTTATCTTCAAGGTTTGCCTATCGACAACTACGCGAAGGCAGTTCCTCGACTCTTGATAGGTGTGAACAACGTGAGCCTTACAGTCCCGCTGCAGGTGAAAGAAGGCAAGAGAGGTGAACCTATTGCCGTGAAGACTAGGCTAGGATGGTGTATCTTCGGTGGCAGTGGAAATGAAGGTGCACATTCGCTGAATTACCACACTTGTGAGTGTCACAGTGATCAGCAGCTACATAACGCAGATTCAGGTTTGTTCCGGGAACAATAGGGCTCACAACCGTTTTAATTAGCAGCTCGCAAACTCGAATTTATGGGTGCGAATACAGCTTTAACTGCAATATTTATTAGCTTAGGTAAGCATTTAACTCATTTAGTTATAATACTACTTACAATTATTCGGTTTGAGCGTATGGAATATTAATGCCTAACCGAAATCCTCGTATGTGAAGCAATCTGCGATAAATTTTAGGTTATACATAGTTTCTAATTGTATTTCATATAAACTTACGGCTGCTCTGCTAACTGTGATAACTATCTGTTATAGTTTAGGGTAAGATAGTTTAAGTACAACTTTAGCTGTAAGAACTGAAAAAACATAGTTTTAGGCCTAATTCAAAGATAATTACAATAACTTCAATTTACTTCTAACTTTCTTTTCACCTCTAAGATTTTCTACAGACAACCTCTCATCGGCCACGTCATTGTCCGTCCACTTGTACACTTTGACGTTTTAAGTCTTGGTAACACCGTTCGCCAGTTGAAGCGGTGATGTCGTTCGGTTGCGGTTACACCGCGGGGCAGTGCTGGCAGCAACATCCTCCCCCCCGTAACACTGGCCACCGGTTCCAGTTTTACCACCAGACTCAACCTCCAACACGGCCAACTTCGACACCGGTCTACGTAACATCCCCCTCGCAGTCTGAACTATAGCTTGCCGAACTCGTCCGTCTTCCGAAGCCACGACATCCTTGATCCTTCCTCGAATCCATCCGTTCCTACGGGCGTCGTCCACTACAAGGACTAGATCCCCAACAGCAACAGGCGTTACTTCTCCAAACCACTTCATCCGTTTGGTCAGCATCGGGAGATATTCCCGAATCCAACGCTTCCAGAACACGTCCAGTTGATATTGTATTAGATTCCAGGAAGTCTTAACTGCGGAAGCCGCGTCACTGAACGTTACTGCAGGCTGGCGAACACCCGTTGAGTTTCCTAGGAGGAAGTGATTTGGCGTCAGAGCTTCCCCTTCGGCAGCGTCTAGGGGCAAGTAGGTAAGCGGACGGCTGTTAACAATGCCCTCGGCTTCGACTACTAGTGTTCCTAGTCCCTCGTCGTCCAGTTTCCGATCGTTGTTGTAAGCTGCCTCCATAGCCGACTTAATCGACCGTACCATCCTTTCCCATGCTCCGCCCATGTGAGGTGCTCCTGGCGGAATGAAATTCCACTTCGTATCTGTATTAGTGAACGTCGCTGCCAATTCGCTGTGTATACACTCGAGCTCCTCCCGCAGCAGACGTTCGGCACCTTTGAAGTTGATACCATTATCGGTATAGATTTCTGCCGGCGCCCTTCGGCGGCAGACAAAACGGCGTATGCACTTGATGCACGACGGTGTAGAAAGGCTGTGAGCAACCTCGACATGAACGGCGCGTGTAGTGAGACAAGTGAATAGGCAGATCCAGCGTTTAGCAGCACTCCTCCCTACTTTCACTAATAACGGCCCGAAGAAATCGATGCCGGTGTAGGTGAATGGTCGAGTGAACGACGACAAACGAGCCACCGGCAACGGCGCCATTCGTGGAACCGTGGGATACGTCTTCTTCACCTTGCACCACTGGCACGTTGCTGAAACTTGCTTCACCACCGTCCTCAATCGGGAAATGTTGTAGTACTGTCGGACTTCGTTCACTACCGTTTCGGAATTTCCGTGGCGAAAGGCTCGATGGAAATCATCTACCACTAGCTTTGTCACCGGGTGCTTTCTCGGGAGGATCACCGGGAATCTGGCATCGAACGATGCATGCGGTGCCGCTCCAATTCTTCCTTCGACTCGTAGAACTCCGTTCTCGTCCAGCATCGGCGTTAACTGGTATAAGCTGCTTGTTTTGGGTAGCTCAGTGTGTCCTCTCGAGAACAGGATCATCTCCTCAGGATATTCGTTCCATTGCACCATCCGCATTATCGTATCCTTCGCTTTTCGTAGTTCATTTTGGCTCAGGTACAGCAATTCCGGCTTCTCTCTTCGTTGTCTACGCTGAAAGTTGTCCACGAAACGATGTACGTACGCTACTGCTCCCAGAAGTCGCCGTCACTTTGAGAAACGGGAAAAGTCCACCACAATCTCTGGAATCGTCGTTCCTTTGATTACAAAGCAGGTTCGTAGTTCCTCGTCAGGTTGCGCCGAAGTTTTCACCTGTTTCGGCCAGTTCTCTTCGGGAAACCGTAAAAATTCCGGACCCTTGAACCACTCGTCGGTGATTTTCGGGCAAGGGTTCTTGCTCCATTTTGTAGCAGCATCGGCAGGGTTTAGTTTGCTAGGAACCCATCGCCACTCTGCTACGTCCGTCGTAGACAACAATTCCCCAACTCTGCATGCAACGTACTGTTTGTACCGGCGATGATCGGCACGCAACCAGGCTAACACAGTTGCGGAGTCACTCCACAGGAAACGCTGCTTCACTTCGACGGTGTGGCATTCCTGAACGAACGACATCAAACGACTGCCAAGGACCGCTGCTTGCAACTCCAAGCGGGGAATCGAGAGTGGCTTCAGAGGTGCGACCTTTGTTTTCGCTGCTACTATCGAGCATTCTGATTCGCCCTTAGCGTTGACCACCCTGAAATACGCCACAGCGGAGAATGCGGATTCGCTTGCATCCACGAAAATGTGTAGCTGAAGCTGTTCATACGTTTTCTTGATTGCGTCCTTGAAATAACATCGTGGGATCCGCAGATGGCTGATCTTAGGGAAAAGGCTGGTCCACTTGATCCAGCGACCAAATATATCTTCTGGCACTCTTTCGTCCCACTGTATTCCAGCTCGCCAAACGTCTTGGAGAAGGATCTTTCCGTGAACTAGAAATACGCTTAGGATTCCCAGAGGATCGAATATCCCCATCAAGCATTTAAGCATCTGCCGTTTGGTTGGCCGCTCACCGTTGTCTATCGCCCGCTGAATCTCCTCCTTCAAATCCATCGAGAACCGCAGCTCGTCTTCGGTAGTGTGCCACAACATGCCCAGTACTCGATCGCTACTGTCCACGGCGCTCAGGCAAAGACTTTTGCTTGCCTTCGGATCCTCCTCTTCCAACTCACGAAGTACTGCGATGCTGTTTGAAAGCCAATTCCTAAGCTGAAATCCTCCTTTCTCGTGAATCGATCTGATTTCACGCGATACTCGTTCTGCTTCTTCCTCGTTCTCGAAACTGTCGAGGTAATCATCCACGTAGTGGTTATTCAGAATTCCCTCCACTGCTCTTGGGAATTGTTCAGCGTATTCTTCGGCATTTCTATTTTTGATATACTGTGCCGAAGCCGGCGAACACGTGGATCCAAATGTTGCCACGTCCATAAGGTATATTTCGAGTGGCTCCAACGGATCGCTCCGGAACACGAAGCGTTGAGAATGCCGGTCCCTCATACGAATCAACATCTGGTGGAACATTTCTTTGATGTCCGCAGAAACTCCCACCTTGTACTGCCGAAAGCCTGACAAAACGGCTGGAAGCAATGTAAGCTGGTCTGGACCTTTCAGCAGCATGGAATTCAGGGATATTCCATCCACTATCGCTGCCGCATCCCAAATAAGCCGAACTTTACCCGGTTTCCGTGGGTTGGTCACTGCGCCTAACGGTAGATACCACACTCGTTTCGGCTCCGCTTGCGCTAATTCGTCTTCCGTCACTCGATGTGCATAGCCTTTGATCTGGTACTCTGCTATCTGCTTCTTAATATTAGCCGCTAGCTCAGGATCCCGATTCATCTTGCGCTCCAGACACTCAAATCGTTTAACCGCCATATTGTAGCTGTCCGGAAACTCGATGTTGTCGTATCTCCACAGCAGACCCGTTTCGAACCGTTCATCTACTCGGGTAGTCGTCTCCTCCATGATTCTTCTAGCACGCTTGTCCTCTTCTGATTCCAGCTGTACTGAAGGCTTTACCCCCGCATCTTCTATCAGGAAGTAATCCTTCAGTACAGCTGGAATCAGTCAGTAAGTTTGACAGATAAAATGAGGGGCTCGAGTTTCGAGGGGTGCTTGGGACCAAAGAGAGTATCAGAGCTGAGCTAAAAAGTTGAGCACGTTTCTTTGGGACCTTCTGGTCTTAGAGTTACCTCTATGGTTGTACTTCGGACTTGTTACATTGGACGATTTTTCACAAAGACATAATTAATGATTGGTCGTTTTATTCTACACCATCTAGATTCCCTTTCAGACTACAGAATATAGTACCTAACACCGGGAAATCACTCGTACCCTTAGTACCCTTAGATTAGTTTTCCACGACCTTTAGATAATAAGCACCAATCATGCTGGGAAAACAAAATGACCCAAGTAACTATCAATCACCCAAGCGGCGCTGGTGGTGTAGTGGTAGGCGTGATTGCCTCTCACCCCAGCAGACCTGGGTTCAATCGCAGTTGGCGCCACCGGGATGTTCTGAGGCATAACATCTCTGATCACGCCTTCCTTCGGATGGGAAGTAAAGCCGTTGGTCCCCGGTTCATGAGTTGATGGGTCGATAGGTAGGGTCCAGGTGTGGGAGCCTCCTCCCTGGCGTCGGTAGCATTGGTGCTCAGCACGGAAAACAAATCAAGGGAAAAAAAACTATCAAGCACCCATCATACTAAACTGTCCATTGGCAATTTGTTAAATATGATTATCTTAAACAAATGAAAATAAATTTAAATTTATGTTTTTGTAGCACATAAAATGAAAGAAACCCAATTGTGTTTTTTATCGATTGATTCGATTTGTTTACATTTGTTACCTAAGATATATTGCAAAATTACGCAAGAAATGTAGATTTTTACGAAATTAGAACTCTTTCCGAGGTTCTAGTATAAGTGGTAAGATTTATTTTAACCGAACTGCTCTACCAAATATTTGTTTTCTGTTGTTTCTTCTGAAATCGATATTTTTGAAAAATGTTATAATTTTCATACATTTTTTGGCGCCATGCTGTCATTAGCTGTGAGCTTACGTTAATCCATTCTAATTCGTTTCAGCTGCAGCTGGTTGCAAATGATAGCTATAGGTCTACTATTATTTGTATTGGTGTGGTGCAGATTGCACCAGCGGGGTCACCGGGAATTGGTTCCAAACAAAGAAAAGTACAATAACTTTCATTATGAACCGGTTTACTAAAAAAGTAGAAGGGTCTGTGCCTAGGGGCACTAACGGAAGCTTGACGTAGGACCGCTAGTGGACGGAACAAATGTGAACATTTAGTTCTTTTAATTGATCAATCATCAATTATCTTAACTCTTTCCGTTTTTTATTTGTAAGCGTATCACATCTGTAGTATTTATTTCAAAGAGAGAGTTGATGAAGAGAATCCAAGGGACTGTCAACTTGAGTATTTTCGATTCATCTACCCGACTTTAAATGGTGTATTTTGATTTTTTTGTTATTTATAAATTTTTAAGTTTTGTGCATTTTGGTATTAAAGTGTATTCAATTCACCCCTCACAGGATTTCCTTCCGAATTATATGAATGGGGCGGGGCGGAAAGTATCGTTTGTGCAGAATATTTAAAAAAGGAGGGACTTCGAGAGATTGAACTCGTGAGAGCTAATTTTTTCACAAATTTAATTTTATTGGCTTTCTGGGGACTGAATATACACCCAAAGCGAATTATTCCCACTTCTCTCAAAACTACTGATTCCGATCATAGCCTAGCGGTGGGACTTCTTCCTCCTTCTCTATGGTTGCTCATATGAACTCTGCAGCTCGCAGCCTTTCGTTGTTGTTGAAAGCACTCCTGCTGCTGCTGCTGCTGCTGCTGCTACTACTGCTACTGCTGGACTGGACACCACCATGATTGAATGAGCACCGTTCAGTGGGACCGCATCGAATTCGATTTTTAAATCTGTGTTAGAGAATGCGCTGATTTCAGGCAATGGGTGATAATTTTAATCACCATTGCTACAGTTGGAGATTTGTGTATTTTTCAATAGTGACCTATTGAAAATTAATAAAGTGTTCATTTTTAGCAGATTGGTAGATAAATTTCCAATCGTTTGGTTTGTTTAGAATTAAAATCCATCTGCTATTGGTCAAAACCTGACCTCTTTTCGTAATGCTGTGCATTTTGGTTTTTTGAAATTGCGTGGCTTCTATAGATCCTGTGGAGATCTATCTAGCCCTGATGTATGTGTTGGTAGAGGGAAAAATGTAAACTTTGCGGGAGACGATGTCTTAACACTCGAAATCAATTTTGTGAAATATGAAGTAAAACCAATCCTAGCTAGTTCTGCATGATGATTTTGTTTGATTTTAATGATTTGTAAAGTCGCCGGGAAATACCAGCTGGCTATTTGTTGTTTTTTTTTATGATAACTCCTTACTTGAAAACAGGCAAAAACTCACAAACAGGCTGCTTTTTCATGGTATACAGTATTCAATAATCAATAAATTATCTCAACATTTAGTAGCAAACCATTCATACACTTTGGTAACATACAAACAATTCTATAATCCACTTTAAATTTCATATGTAAGCGCCGATTGAAACAATCTTTTCGACGTTACTACAAGGGTGCTGATTAAACGAAAGAAACGAATCGTGTGGAATGAAAGCCGAGGAAAAACTAATTGCACCAATATATTCAGGCATGCAATTCCACATCTTCTATAGACAAGTTGAGCCTTGATAGCTAGCTGCTTACGGGAACTGATGACCTTGACTTGAATAATACTCTTTAACAATTTTTTGATGGCCCTGAAAAGGACCGTTTTGTAGTGATGGTTGAGTAATTCTGAGCTGGGTGTTCAACACGGATGAGGCTGTCGAGCTGTATGTCGTTTGGAGCGAGGGTGACACGCTTGGCATAGATGACCGACCCGCAGTGACTCACGAAGAGCTTCTGATTCCGATCCATAGCATAGCGGTGCAGCTTCTTCCTCCTTTGATGGTTGCTTATGTGGGTTCTGCAGCTCGCTGCTTGCAGGCAGCC